CTCCTAACCCCCCGCCTGCTACTCTCTCTCGTGCTCCATCCTCCTCCCTCCCTCCCCTTGGTCCGTTCCTTCCATCCGTCCTCTCTTCGCCTACCTCAGGGGCTGCACGAAACGCACGCTGCAGGCAAGAAAAATAGATTCGCCCAAAAGGGTGCGATCGAAGACGAAGAACGCGGGTATCGAGGGTTTGGGGGGTATACGTGTTGAATGGCCCGCGAGCAGATAAGAGCAAATAGCCTAAAACTGATCGTTGGTATTGTTGTTGCTGCTGCTGTTGTGGTTGTTGTTGTTTCGCTGCTGTGCTGCTTTTGTTTTGCTCTTGTTGTTGAGTTCCCTGTAGGATAATGATTGTTGGCGCCTTTTTTCGGGTAGCCATTGTATTTGATTAATGCAAGTGCTTCTCCCGGGGATCGCATCCTGTTTTCTACAACAAAACATGACATGTCACCAAACCGTGTTGCTAGATCCCTGCTTTCAACAACGGTTCCCGCCTGGTGCTTCCTCACAATTGATTTCCATATCGCGCTCTCGCGCGGGATTTCCTCACAATGCAGGAATCGCGCCCTCGCCGGGGACGTCCTCGCGATATGTGGGAATTGCGCTGTCGCTCGGGACTCCCCCACGATTCATGCAGGACGCACGCTGCAAACATCCGCCTGCTCGACCTGGCCGCCTGGGCCCGCCTTTCTGGCCCACCCATTGGGGTTTACCTGCCCGATGGGCCCGTTTGGTTTTGCAACGTGTTTTCTGCCCCTAGCCCCCCTCCTGCTACTCTCTCTCGTGCTTCATCCTCCTCCCTCCCCCTCGTCCCTCCCCATTCCATCCGTCCTCTCTTCCCCTGCCTTGGGGCTGCACGAAATATGCGTGGCAGGTACGAAAGATAGACCCCTAAGTGGGGCACGATCGAAGACGCAAAATTCGGGTCCCGAGGGTTTGGGATATACGTGTTGAATGGCGAACAGATAATAACGAATTGTCTTACATTGATTGTGGTTGTTGTCGTTGTTGTGGTTGTTCTTGCTGTTGCTGCTATTGTTGATCGTAATGATGTTGATGATGTTGTTGGTGATGTTGCTGCTGCTGCTGCAAGTATTTGTTACGTGTTGATTGTTGTTGGGTTGTGTGTTGTCGTCGCCCACACGCGATCCGGCCCGCGACACACCTGCGACCCACCCGCGACCCACCCGCGAACCTACACGCGACCCGCCCGCGAACCACCCGCGACCCACCTGCGACCCACCCGCGACACACCTTTTTGCTTTGACGAAAATTCGGTGCCTGCGGCCGGCTCGTTATATGCGTTGTTGAAAAATCTGCGCCTGCGGTGGGCTTCTTCAGAGCCGCGCAAACTCACGCCGACCCCGCCGCCCCCGAACTCTTATCCGCAACTGCGGGGTGCTACATATTTGCATAAAAGTATGTGGTACTGATTATTACTAAACGCGCTTGTTCGATCAACCCGTGCCCCGCAACGTAAAATATGAAAGGGATGACGGGGAGGGGGGGTGAAGGCCAGTTGGTTGCGCATGCTATTACTTGATCTGTCCAATGAACTAGCGTGCCGAAACACTAACCTGGCGTAGGGCCCAACAGTATGCGGGTGTGAATATCGCCGCTGTGGGCATCCCCTTCGATGGATCTCCTCATGGTGCCACGAAGCGTGTAAAAAAAAGGCGTGCCGAAATGGGCAGGGGACGGACGCACGTGGCGCTGCCACAGGGGCCTTCGGAAGCGATCCATATAGTAGGGCCACGAAAATGTGACGGGCCTGCCGAATTGGAGCGGGGCCGCCATGCGAATCCTGCCACCGGGGCAATAGGTGGAGCTCCATATGCGGCTACGAAACGCGTAAAGAGTATGCCGGGGTGGGAGGGGGGGTGCGCATGCGAGCGTCGCCACTGGGTCCTTCGCTAAAACTCGGTACGGGGCCGCGAAAACCGTGAGAGGTGTGCCGAAATGGGCGGGGGGAAACGAATGTGATCATAGCCGCTGGGGCCTTCGGTGGAGCTCCCTATAGGGGCATGAAACGCTGTATTGGGTGACGCGGGCGCAGGTGATCACAACCACTGGAGACTGCGAAGGAAGTCCCTGTGAGGCCACGAAACGCCGTACTGGGTGGCGCGGGACGCACGTGGTCACATCCAGTGGAGCATTCGGTGGAGCTCCCTATGTGGCCACGAAGCGCCGTACTGGGTTGCGCGGGACGCATGTGGTCACAGCCGCTTGGGCCTTCGGTGCAGGCCACGAAGCGCCGTACTGGGTGACATTGGACGCGTGTGGTCACAGCCACTGGGGCCTTCGGCGGAGGAGCTCCCTTTGGGGCCACGAGGCGCTGTGCTCGGTGGCTCGTGACGCATGTGGGCGTGGCCACTGGGGCCTTCGGTGGAAGTCCCTATGGGGCCACAAAGCGCTGTGCTCGGTGGCGCGGGGCGCATGTGGGCACAGCCACTGGGGCCTTCGGTGGAACCTTCTATGGGGCCACGAAGCGCCGCCCTGGGTGGCGCGGGACGCATGTGGTCACAGCCGCTGGGGTCTTCGATGGAGCTCCCAATGGGGCCACGAAGCGCCGTACTGGGTGGCGCGGGACGCCTGCGGGCACAACCACCGGGGCCTTCGTTGGAGCTCTCTATGTGGCCGCGAAACGCCGTACTAAGTGGCTCGGGACGGAAGTGGTCACAGCCACTGGGGCCGGCCGGCGCGGGACGCGTGTGGGCACAGCCACTGGGGGTTTCGGCGGAGCTCCCTATGGGGCCACGAGGCGCCGTACTGGGCATCGCGGGACGCGTGCGTGCACAGCCACTGGGGCCTTCGGTGGAGCTCCCCATGGGGCCACGACGCACCGTCCTGGGTGGCGCACGACGCATGCGTGCACAGCCAGTGGGGCCTTCGGTGGAGCTCCCTACGGGACCACGAAGCCCCGTACTGGGTGGCATTGGACGCATGTGGTCACGGCTTCTGGGGCCTTCGGGTGGAGCTCCCAATGGGGCCGCGGAGCGCCGTGCTGGGTGGCGCGGGACGCATGTGGTCACAGCCGCTGGGGTCTTCGGTGGAGCTGCCTATGGGGGCCACGAAGCGCCGCGCTGATTGGCGCGGGGCGCCGGTGGGCACAGCCACTGGGGCCTTCGGCGGAGGAGCTCACTTTGGGGCCACGAGGCGCTGTGCTCGGTGGCTCGTGACGCATGTGGGCGTGGCCACTGGGGCCTTCGGTGGAAGTCCCTATGGGGCCACGAAGCGCTGTGCTCGGTGGCGCTGGGCGCATGTGGGCACAGCCACTGGGGCCTTCGGTGGAACCTTCTATGGGGCCACGAAGCGCCGTCCTGGGTGGCGCGGGACGCATGTGGCTACAGCCACTAAGGTTTTTTCTTAGCTGTGGCCAGCGCTCGGGGGGCCGATCGGCGTTCGGCACCGCTGAAGTGCGAACAGAGGCAGCAACGAAGCGTTCCCGACCCGTGTTGAGCCGAGAGCGAGCTCGAAAAAGGGCCCTGCGCGCAAGGCGCCGGGCCCTGCAGCAAATTTGCGGCGTCACTTGGGACGTCCACGCGGGACATTATCCAGGCCGTGCCGCCCCCAAACGGGGGCAGCCCGCCGAAACCACTCCCTGGGGGGGGGGAGGTGTGCGGCGTCACCTGGGACGTCCATGCGGGACATCCGCCAGGCTGCGCCGCTCTCGAAAGAGGGCGGACCTCTGAGGCCACTCCCTCGGACAGGAGGCCGCGGGCCTAAGACGCTGGCAACTGACCTCCAGCCAACGGTCTCCAGCATGCGCCGGAACTCGACCCTGGCCGAAGGATGGTAGTCCGTCGCCTGGCGGAGGACGCCGTCCGCTGCGGCATAGACCTCCGCGAAGGCCGCGGCCGCCGTTCCGCCAGCCGCAGGCGCCGCGAGGGGCGCCGCCGCTGGTTCAGCAGCGTTTCCGTCTCGCCGCCGCCTCCGCCCCTTCGGGGCGCAAGGAGGGGCGTCGGCCCACTTCGTCGTCGAGGGAGGCCGAGTCGCCGTCGGCCTCGCGAACGCGGCGCGCCGCGCCGCCCGGCACCTCGGCGGGCAGCCGCCACCGCCAGCGCCCCCGCAAGCCCAGGCACGTCTCCCGCGACCCTGCGCGCCTTCGCCACCCGCTGGCGTCGTCGCTTCCGCCGCGCCGCCTTCGCCGCCGAGTGAAGCCCCCTCCTGCAGCGCCTGGAGCGCGCCCGCGATCTTGTCGAACCGGTTTTTCGGAGCCTGCCGCAGACGCGGCGGGCGTTGACGCCACGGCGAAGCCGCGGCGGACACCACCGAGCGCGCGACCGCAGCGACCGTGCGACGCGGAACCCTCGCTTTGGCCGCCGCCCGCACCGCCGCCTCCACCAGGAGCGCGGCGTCGCCGACGGCGAAAGCCATGCCAGCGAGGCGCGGGGCGTTCATCCCGAGGAGGCTCGCCCGAGCGCCAGGCATCTGGATAAATTGAGCGGAAGACCCACGCGAGAGCGCGACTCCGGAATAACTTGTCAGGAAGGCCAGCGCGAGAACGCGAACTTACAATAAATTGTGAAAACGTGTGAAGCGGGAGCCGTTGTCTTTTTAAAACCGGGGGCCAGGGGAACAATTTTGTGACACCTAACTTTCCCTCGTGGAACCATACAGCGGTCACCGCGTAGGGGGAATCAACCATAATTGTGCTTCGGGAATGAAAATTCAGCAACAACGCCAACAGAAATAGCAACATCACCAGCAGCAACAACAAAATACGGCCACTACCTGGAGGCCCCAATCTACCTTGGAGATCCGACCCTCTTGTGCGACCCCTAACTGGAGTCCCCATGGGGGGGGGCCCGGGAAACGGGAAACGGAAACCCCTCCGGGAGTAAATTACGAGGACTATGGGATCCAGCACGACCCTTGCACCTCCCCGCTGGACCCGACCACGCAAACGCAAGGGAGCACCAGCGAGGCTCCAGAATCCATACGTAACCCTTGCGGATCCTCCGGGATCCCTGCGTAATCCTAGGGACCCCTCAGGGAACCCTGACGCATTCTTAGGGAATCCTGGGGAATCCTTTGGGAACCCAAGGGGATCCTCAAGGAACCCTTGGGGATCCTGCAATCCCCAAGGAACCCTACCAAATCCTTACAGAACCCGAAGGAAGGATCCTCAAGGAACCCTACAGAATCCTTAGGGAACCCTAGGGGATCCTCAGGGAACCCTCGGGGATCCTTAGGCAATCCTAAGGAGTCCTTCCGAAACCCTAGTGAATCCGGAGGGAGCCCTAGGAATCCTCAGGGAGCCCTCGGGAATCCTTAGGCGATCCTAAGGAATCCTTCGGGAACCCGTGTGGATCCTGAAGGGACCATGATGATTCCTTGGGGAACTTTGTGAATCCTCAGGGGGCCTTTGGGGTTCCTTAGAAAACCCTGGTGAATCCTTAGAGAACCCTAACGCATCCTGATGGAACCCTGATGGATCCGGAAGGACACCTGATGCATCCACAGGGAACCTTAGCGAGCCCTTAGAGGGCCCTAGGAATCCTTTAGGCAACCCGAATGGATCCTTAGAGGACTCTGATGAATCCTTCGGATACCCTCGGGACCCTTGGGAATCCTGATGGGACCCTAATAAGAGTAGTATTGATAGTAGTAGTAGTAGTAGTAGTAGTAGTAGTCGTAGTAGTAGTAGTAGTAGTGGTAGTAGTAGTAGTAGTAGTAGAAGTAGTAGTAGTAGTAGTAGTAGTAGTAGTAGTAGTCGTAGTAGTCGTAGTAGTAGTAGTAGTAGTAGTAGTAGTAGTAGTAGTAGTAGTAGTAATAGTAGAAATAGTAGTAGTAATCGTAGATGTAATAATAATTGGAGTAATCGTAATAATACCAATAGTAGCCGTAGTCGAAGCAGCAGTAGTAATACTAGTAGTAGTGGTGGTAGTAGTAGTAGTAGTAGTAGTAGTAGTAGTAGTAGTAGTAGTAGTAGTAATAGAAGTAGTAGTAGTAGTAGTAGTAGTAGTAGTAATAATAATAGTAGTGGTAGCAGTAGTAGTAGTAGTCGTCGTAGTAGTAGTAGTAGTAGTAGTAGTAGTAGTAGTAGTAGTAGTAATAGTGGTGGTGGTGGTGGTGGTGGTGGTGGTGGTGGTGGTGGTAGTGGGAGTGGTGGTGGTGGTAGTAGTATCGTTTGTGGTAACAACACTAGTGGTAGTAGCGGTTGTAATAATAATTACTCCGACGGAAGAACCCCACATAAGAATCCTCTGGGCGAATCTGGAAAAAACCATCACCGTCGTCCTCGTGGTTGGTGAGGCGTCCTGGCTGTCTCCTCTGCGTATATTTCCTCTCGCCTTGGCGCGGGCCCCCCTTCCACTCCTTACGTTGTCCCCATCCTCGCCCCCCTGTTTGTTCCGCGCCCCGCCACCCCCCCCCCCCCTTTCCTGTTGCATGAGCGCGCATGTCGACGTTCCTCGGCGCCGTCGCCGCCACGGCCAGCACAGGCGCGTTCTCTACTGGTCACGTCGCGCAGCCGTTGGGACAACCCCGCGGGCCAGGCTGTCGGGGCAACCCCGCGAGCCGTTGGCGCGCAAGACCAAGCCGTTGGGACAACCCCGCGGGCTGCGAGCGAGGCGCAGCCGCGCTCAGGCGGAAGGCAGCACGAAGCCCAGCTCTGCCGCGAGCTGCTTCGCCTCCGCCCCGGACAAAACCGCTCTCTTGTCGAACTCCAGGGGCGCCTTCCGCAGGGGCGCCGGCGGCCCGCACTCCAGGGACTCTCGCGGCGGCGGCCGCAGGATCAGCATGTTCCGCATGCGCGTGGCGCGGGAGAACATGACGTAGAGGTGCAGCCACCACTGCTCGTCCGACATGCCCGTGCGGCCAGCGTCCTCGTCTCTCGCGCAGTCGACGGTGACGCCCTTGCGCAGCGTCTGGCCCTGCGACAGCGTGGAGGTCAGGTAGGGCGCGTGCGTCAGGGTGAACCCCGAGCGGCGCACGCTGTGCGCCCCCGAGCTCTGCCATGTGAACTCCCTTTCGCTAGGCCTGAACATCAGCAAGCTCCGCGCCCGCGCCTCGGCCTGGCCGTCGTCGTCGGCGCCTTCGGCGCCCTGTCGCAGCACCTCGGCGACCTCCTGGTAGATCGGGGACTCCTTGAAGCCGTGCACCTGCAGCCAGATTCCCTGCGGTAGGAAGCGGGGGCGAAAGAGCTGGCCTGCCGAGCACTCCTCGTAGCGCTGCTCGTCCTCGTGGTGGAACTCGAAGGACACGACGGTGGCCCGCTGCTCCTGCACGAGCCCCAACTTCTTCTTCAGCTCCTCCTGCGCTGCCGTGAACCGCGCCTCCATGCCGACGTGGGCCGGCAAAACGCCGTGGATGTCCCCCGTCTTGTGCATGTTCGGGACGTTCAGGAGGCGCCTACCCGCGTCGGGCTCGCCCTGAATCGCGCCGCACTCGTCAACGGCCTGCAGGAAAACAAGGGGCACGCCCAGACGCCGAGCGTCGCGACGAGCGCGCGTGTTGATCCACCTCGCCAGCGTCTCCCAGTATATGCCCATGCCGTAG